GTAGGAGTCCCGTCCCCATTCACAAAGTCAGCTGTCCCTGATGGAGCACCACGCGGGCCGGGCTCCCAGCAGTCTTGTGTGCAGGCCCAGAGGAGACCCGAAGCCCTGGCCTCACTTAACCATGGTCCATCCTCTGCCTTCTTCCTTTGGCAGAGCTCCGAGCCCACTTTGAGCCTGCGTCAGAGACTGAAGGGCTGGAGAAGGACACGGACGAGGTAGAAGAGGACCGTCCCCCAGCAGACGGGCCTCGAGGTGGAGCGCCTGTGGCATATGGAAGGAGCAGCCCGATGTCCGCGGGTGCCCCCAGGGTCCAGCCCCAGCAGCTCCAGCACCAGCACCTGAGCCTCCAGCTGGGCGAGCTCAGGCAGGAGACCAACAGGTGGGGGGGGGGCGGGTACCATGACCGGGGCCAGTCAGGGAATCGGTAGACTTGCTGAGTGTCCCCTCTCAGGTCTCAGAGGAGCATCTTCCCCAAGGAGGTGGGCGGGGGGTGTTCTCAGCTTCAGCTGGGGGAGATCGCCTCCCTTTAAGGGCAGCACCCCTGAGTCCTGGTGCCTTGCCACCAGCCACACACACAGCAGTCAGCCATGCTAACGGCCGCAGCACCTCGGGAATTCTTTTTCTTTCTTTTCACAAAGATGAGGCCCCTGGCGTGGCCTGCAGGTCCAGCAGACTCCGCGGTGGGTGGCTACAGCCTGCACCCACAGCAGTAGCCAAGCCCAGGGTTGGCTGGCACTTCATCTGATGGACAGGTAGCCCATGACCCTGACCCTAAGTTTGCCCTCTCCTCTTTGAGCCTCTTGCTGGGACGCATCAGGATTCCCCAGCAGGCGCTCGTGGACTGCCTCCGCAGCCAGGGCACCCTGGCATTGCCGTGAGGTGGCCCCCTAAGAGAGCTGGTCTATTTTGTTCACTTCCTGGCACATAGTAGGCATTCAAAAATATTTGTTAAATGAATAAAATGATTGTTCGCTCTGGGTAATCACATCATCAGTGGACTTATAAGATGCCTTGTTGCCACATGATCATTGCTAGTGCCAATTAATATTTAACAGGGAGACGTGGTGCCAAGTATTGGCATTCCACAGGTATTGTGGAGGAAACATTGTATATACTCTGGGGATCTCTGAAGTTTGACCTTAGGGCAGATCTAATCATTTTTTACAGACCTAGAGTGTTCTCTCATTTTTGAGAGATGTGCAGTTTTAGTTAACAGGTAGTGGTGGCAAAATTTTGAAAGCTTTTAAAATATGACACGTGAAAGTTGCTAGTGATACTTGGCACTTCCTTAAAATCTTTACTGGTAAGGTTTATAATCAAATACAAACTGTTATATATGGGCTCAGGGTTTTTCATCTGCACTGATGATAGGCCTTCTGTGACCTTCCGGTCTCAGTAGCACTCGTAGCAGCTGGCACAGCTGCGGATGGCGGACACACACGCCTGTCCCGGTGTCCTGGAGATGCCTCAGCCATGCGCACACAGCAGGAGGACGGCACCTCCTGCCCAGAGTGCTGCTGCCTGGGGGCACCTGGTCTGTCTTGAGCACGTGAGACCAGTGCCTGTGAAGCATTTAGCACAGTGCTGGGCTCCCTCTGCTTGAGGTCGCCTTCCTCCCGGCGCTCTCCTGCCACTGGCGTCAGAAGCTCCTTGGCTTCCTCCCCTGAGGAGGAAAGAGCCCAAGAGCTCGCTTCAGCCACTTGATGGGACTCAGGGAGACAAGCTGTCCTCACCAGATCCTCCTGGCTGAGCATGCTGCTCACCCTCAGGTTATCTTCTGGTTTGTGATACACGTTGAGACAAAATGCCCTGAGTGCCGGACTTTGTTTTCAAGGGCAGGGAACACAAAGAAAGGTGCCCAGGCTGAAAGCAGGCAGTGTGAATGGTGTTAGGCTCTCTCTGAATAATGGCATTTTTTTTTAAACAGACTTTTGGAACACCTAGTTCAGAAAGAAAGAGAGTACCAGAATCTTCTACGGCAAACCCTGGAGCGGAAAACTCAGGAATTGTATCATCTTCAGTTACAATTCAAATCTAATGGTGAGAAATTTTCCACTTGCTTTGATTTGTGTGTGAGACCACTTAAAATGACTAGTCAGCCTTGCCACAGTTGCAGTTACTCTCTAGTAAAGCAGTAAGTACTCCAGTATATTCTGGAATACTCCTAATAGAAAACCACTGGTACATTCAAAAACATGGATGAATCACAAATGCATTATGCTCAGTGAAGGCAGATTCAAAAGGCTACATGCTATGAGCCCCTAAATATGGAATATTTACACAAAACTCTGTTAAAGGCAAAACTCTAGGGACCGAAAACATCAGAATTGGGGGTGGGGGGAGAATGATTATAAAAGGCTGCAAGAACTTCTGGGGGTGACAGAAATTTGTCATCTTGATGACAGTAGTGGTTACATGACTGTCAAAGGGCACAGCCCTTAAATACCTAAAAAGGGTGATTGCAGATTTATTGCAGAAGTTAAACCTGATCCACTTCAGGCCACTTAGCAAAGAGCTGCAGGCACCTCCTGGAATGTGGGATGGATAAGCACCGGCACAAAATCTCAGGACTGAAGTCTATCTCCTCATTTGATTTCCAGTGCAGTTAAGGATGATATTCCTTACAAAAGGCATTTTACGGACTGTAATAAGCATTTAAAGTGGCAGACAGAGGGATGCCAGGGTGGCTCAGCAGTTAAGCGTCTGCCTTCAACTCAGGGCATGATCCTGGAGTCCTGGGATGAGTCCTGCGTCAGGCTCCCTGCATGGAGCCTGCTTCTCCCTCTACCTGTGTCTCTGCCTCTCATGAATAAATAAATAAAATCTTTATTTTTTAAGGTGGTAGACAGATAGTAAGCATATCAGATTCGCAAGTAACCTCACCCTTACCTGTGGTCCCTTTAATCTCTGGGAAGTGAATCCACCATCTAGGGAGTGTTGTGTAGTATGGATTAGAACAGTTCACACAGTTTTGTTTTTTTTTTAAATTATTTATTTATTTATGATAGACACACACACACACACACACACACACACACACGGGCGGGGGGCAGAGACATAGGCAGAGGGAGAAGCAGGCTCCATGCACCGGGAGCCCGACGTGGGATTCGATCCCGGGTCTCCAGGATCGCGCCCTGGGCCAAAGGCAGGCGCCAAACCGCTGCGCCACCCAGGGATCCCCAGTTCACACAGGTTTAATTCATTTTCTTTCAAATCACCTTTATGTTGTGTAATAGTTTATTTCATCCAACTTGTTACTTTTGAAGAGTTTTAAACATTAACATACAACAAAATACATCTCACATCGTTGCAGATACTACAGAGAATTCAGCATCCCCTCCTGGGTCTCAGGAGCAGAAAACTGATAAAGAGCTTGTGGACTGGTTACAACTGCAAGGAGCAGATTCGAGTACGATAGAAAAGGTAAATTTCTAACAAAGCATTCCTATGCCCTTCTTACAAAGCAGCTTAGCTCTTCTGTATTCGATTTTTGTTTCAGATTGTTGAAGAAGGTTATACCCTTTCTGATATTCTTAATGACATCACTAGGGAAGATCTAAGACACCTTAGACTACGGTAAGAATGGCTTCAAAACACTGTAATAGAAAATGACTTTTTTCATGTGATTGTGCTTTTAAATCAGTAGAAAACAAAGTGGTGGTCACTTTACTCCTTCACTGAAATAAATTCTCCTTCCTATGTATGGCTATGGCTTAGTCAGAAAACCAACTACCCAACCTCCTCTCTCACTCCAGAGTTTCCTTAGGGTAGAGTTGGGTACCAGTGGGAGGTGAAACCCCAGAGCTCTCTCCAGCCCCTCCTTCCTCAGCCTGCTCCGCAGAGCCACCTGGCCCTCCTACTGGAGCCCAAATACAAGAGGAAAGACCTCTAGTTAAGCGAGGAACTGCATTTTGGCAATCTAGACAGGTCTAGAGTTGCTAGAGTTGAACACTGTAGCTTAAGAGCTCCTAAAGAAGTACTCGGTGGTGTGCTTATGACTCTAAAGCAGCCTTATTTGTCTCCTAGTGGCGGTTGCCTCTGCCGGCTCTGGACAGCAGTCTGCCAGTACAGAAGGGCTCAGGGGTCTCCGGCCACCCGAGATGAGGCTGAACCGGTCGGCTTAGGCCAGGGGACAGAGGGAGCGAAGAGCTGACATCCTTCTTAATATAATTCCACTAAGTTTACATAAGGAAAACCCCGTTATTTAAGAGTTTGAAGTTTTAAAGAATTGCTGAAATGGGATGAGCTTTTTAAATCTCTTACCAACATGTTTTAAAGGTGAGTAGAACTTACGTATTGTGAGAACAGTGGCTGAACTCTAATTTGACATCCCAGAATATTATGGAATCTTTTAAACAAATTTCAATATACACCCTAAAGTAACAGGCTGGGCCTCACTGTTTTAGACCATAGCTTACTATAAACTGGCATTGTACTTAAGAATATGCCTTGTATTTAATGTTTGATATGAATGTAAATAGAAAACTATTAAGAAAATAGCTTTGTATTTAATGTATAAATGAAGAAAACTAAGTTATTTGGCCTTTGAAATGATTATGGTCTTATTTAAAACTGGCATTGTTGGGGCACCTAGCTGGCTCAGCTGATGGAGCATTCGAGTCTTGATCTCAGAGTTGGGAGTTCGAGCCCCATGCTGGGTGTAGAGATTACTTAAAAATAAAATCCTTAAAAAAATAAAAATGGAATTGTCCTCCTACCTCCCTGCCTGGAGATAATACACTTTTACTGAAAAATGATGGTCAGTGTGAAGAGGCTTTAGCTCCCACACGCACACTGAGGGTGTGCATGTAGTATTTGCTGTTAGGTGAGGCACAGGGGCCCTTGCCAAGGGTCAAGGGAATGATCCCACTCCCCTCAAACATAGGAATGAATGGCTTTTGATTTAGTTGTATACTATTTTTCAGTTATTAAAAGGAATAGAACTATTTTAAGGAAAAATCTGAATCTAAAATAACCTTATATAATATTCACACTAAGCGTGCAGTAACATCTTTTAATGCAACACTGTTGTACAGTTGTACAAAACACATGCAATTACTACCTTAGCCTATATTCTTTTTACGGGTTTTTCTTCCTTAACAAATTTGAGAACACAGAGGCCCTTAGAGGTGTAACTACCTATTATTAACTGATTATTAACTGATGGACTTAAACTTGATCCACTGATTTGCACCCCGAACTTCAAAAGGCGGATCGCTGCTGTAAATGTGATAGCCTAGTTCTTCCAAAGGCGGTTCTGGATCAGCAGTGGCAAACTGGGCAGCATCCTCAATTTCCTTCCTCACTTCAACATCAATTTCCTATAAATCAGATTATAGTTCAGGAGGTTACTGAGTAAACAGCAGCATAGATACAAGCCAGGTCTACTTGGAACAGGTTGCTAGTACAACTAGAACTCTCCTAGGAATAGAAGTACTAACAGGTGCTCTTTATGAACCGAACATCCAAAGTATATTTTTAGGAAAAAACTGCTCCTGGGTTTCAAGGTTTTGCGAATATGACTGACCCATACTTTCCCACTGACCCAGGCAGCTCTCTGGGTGCAAAAAAAACTAGTTGCTGGAAAAGGCGAGCCTACCTTTAGTTCCTCGACACTGGCCAGGTTGCTGTTCACCATTCTATCCTTGAGAAGCATGATAGGGTCGCTCTTACTTCTTACTTCCTGAATCTCCTCTCGTGTACGGTAACTACAGGAAGACAAACAGTAGGTAAGGACAGCTCCAGTACAGCTAAGACAGTTGTTGACTCAGACGTGGGCTTCGGACACGGAGTGGTCACCGGGGGAGGGTGCACATAGGATACAAGAACTCCGCCTCTAACATTTTAGTATCTTTCATGGAAAACTCTACCCTGGCGATTCCCCTGGCTTCTCAGGTGTTCTGAAGAGGAGGGGCCAAGCTTTTATTTGCTTTTTTGATCCAGATGTAGGATCTAAAGGAAGTGGTAGAGCCACTGCCTGTGCCCTCTCACGTCACTGGCAGGTAGCAGAATACCAAGCAGGAAATCAGGCTTTAGGAGCCCAGAGAAGTGAGGCCAGTGAACACTTGCACAGGTTTTCCAATTCCTGATTCTAGAAAAGAAGCCCCACGGTGTTCAAGGGTCAGTTAAGAGTGCCAACTGCCCATACACACAGTTGAAAATCTGCAAATGTTGACTCCCGAAAAACAAGTCTTATGAATAACACTTGATTAACACGTATTTTGTATGTTACTTCCATGTATTAGTCTATAGTGTGCTCTTAACATAAGTTGGAAAGAAATGTTATAGTCAAGAGAAATGAAAAAAGAAAATCCCTGGGTCTGTGGGCCCATGTTGTTGAAACCTGTGTTGCTCAAGGGTCAACTGTACATACATCCTTGTCTTGTATCTTCCAACCACCACTAAATACCAAGTACATTTTTCCATCTAAGTTGTTCTTTATAACATTTCTCTTAGAATACCAATCTACTCCCAGGCTTGTTAGGGCTTACTGACTAAATCTACTACTTTTAACTCTGTCACGCTCTGGGATGGCAGCATTACATGCCAGGGTCACTAAGTGGCAAGTAAAACTATCTTCCTAATGTAACTTACCTTTTTTTTGACCGATTGATTTCAATATGTTGAATATCCCACGTGCCAGGTGGCCTCACTCCATACCAGCCAGGTTTTCACATTTCAACTCTATATTCGGGTAATGCCTACAAAAGCTATATGTCCCTAAATATATATATATATGCTATACCATTGGCCTGTTTTATCCAACAGTTTCTCTCTGTAAAGTAACTTCTACCCATAACATCACAAATCCCAAGTCACATGCTCTCCCCTCTAAGTCAGCCAGGTGCCCCCTTCTCTGCAATTCATTACTGCTCATGCTAACATGTACATACTACAGATAAGGATTTTCAGAATGCTTCCAGGCAAAGACTCAAATAATTACTCGATACCAACAAATTCACCGCACGAAGCCCACTGGTGTCTGGCTTCCAAAGTAAATGTTGAAATGCTTTGCTTTTTCATATGAGTAGCACCATACAAAGCCCACCCACCCAGGGACACCACACCCAGATTTCCCATGACCATACCTGACACCAGGGTCGCTCATGCTGTGTCCATGGTAACGGTAAGTCTGTAGCTCCATCAATATGGGCCCCTAAAACAGAACCCAGTGAGACGATGAGCACAGCACATCCTTTCAGAATCAAAGATATTCTCATTGGATTTTCTATAAGTTGGCTGAGTTGTCAAGAATTTCCTATTAGCTGACTTAAGAATTATGTTCTCCTTTCTGATACCTGTATGTACTCCATGTTTCATCCTTCTAATTTATATGGAACTTAGTTGCTTTTTATTTTTTTTAAGATTTTAATTATTCACGAGAGAGAGGGGCGGGGACCCCAAGATCATGACCCGAGCCAAAGGCAGACCACTGAGCTACCCAGGCACCGCAAGAACTTAGTTTCTGAATCAAAAAGGCATTCAGCATGTTCTAGAGCCCACTGATATTATTTCATCAGCACTGCCTTTGACATAGAATAATCCTATAAAACAGCTGAGATTTAATCCAGAAAAACCCATTAGAAAGCAGGTATGACAGCAAGGAAGGGGATGGTTTTTATCTTCACGGCCAATAAAGCTAGTTTTTCCCCCTCAGGCACATATGAATGATCTACAAGCATCTGGATTCTTTTAAAAAGGTACAGAAACATACAATACAAAATCCCACAGAATACGACTAAAAGTAGACCTCTAGATGTGCTGGAAAGTGTGGAAGGGAGAATTAAAACTAGGCTGGGTAGGTCAATCTCCACCTCACCTATAAGGGCTGACAACCAATCCTGCACAGATGCGGCTAGTGTGTAACAACGTTGGTGGTAACAGACAACACGTGATGATTAACCCCAGGACTCGGCTGGCCAGCCCGACCACACCCAGGACAGTTTGCTCCTCCTTCACTAGCCCCCTTCCAGAAGATAGCTTTGAACACTGAGGGGAAGAGGGTGGATCTAGGATCCCTGGGCAGTGTGGTGTAGTAGTTGGGGGTGGGGCGCAAAGGGAGAGGCCCAGCTCTCAGTCCAAGAGCCTGGGATCCAATCTGGGCTGTCATGTATAGTAGCTACGCACCCTTAAACTGCTCTGTGCCTTAGTTATTGTACAGATGAGGGACCTAACTCAGGGGTTATGTTGGTTCACACATAAGTGCTTACTGCATCACCTGACCCAGGTCAATCCCTCAATAAGGATTTATTTTTCACCTATTTTTCTGTTCCACGCCACCCAGGAGCTATTGGAAAACACAGTGGGCTAGACTAAGGGGGTTTCTAGACTCTCCCCTAATTCCAAGATGAGGCTGAGAAAGTCAACACATATAAACCAGTATATATAAAATTATAAAATAAAGTCAACACTATAAACCAGTGATCCTGTTTCCACATTAAGTTTGTATTCCACATGTTCTTTCAGGAAGAGGGGAATGATATCCACCGCTCAAGTCTATACCTCTCTAGTCTTGGAGTCCCGACGTAGACTGCTGAGCTCACTGCCACCTCAGCCATACCTGATTTCATTCCTCTGTTCTCATGTGCAGCACCCCCACATTTCCCTCCCTGCTCCACCCTCGTTCCCCATTTGCATCACTGGTAGCCCAGTCTTCCCACACAGGGGTGTCACGGAAAGGTAAACCCTAGGGGCATGCTTTCTGGGCTGTGAACACCAATTCAGGGAGAACATCATCCTTTCCACTTGCTCTGCTGGCATCTAAGCCAACCTCACTGTTCCCTTCTCCCTCTACTGCTCTACCTGAAAGGTCCAGATTCTCAGGACTGAAACAGCAAGGTGAAGATTACATACTTTAACCGTAATATTTAAATTATGGAAGATGAGCTTACACTGAATGCCTATTATCCCAGCAAAGTTCTGTGCTGAGCACTGGGAGGGGGGTCCCCAATATGCTCACTCAAGGGGCTTATTATGATTAACAGGGTGGCAGGTGGGGGTGGGTGGGTAGAGGTTGGAGGCACATAACCAAACCACAAGGCAAAATGCTGAGGAAGCACTCAAGAGGAAAGATTCACCCCAAACAGGGGCAATGTGGGATGTTTCCTAAGAGGTAAGCTATTAAGACCACAGTATTTACAAAGGGACCCAATTCACTGGACTCTGCTCCTGCCTTCTACACAACTAATTACCAGCAACCCCTGAAGAGCTACAATAGACACATGGGAGACATTCTTTTAAGATAAATGTCAATGGACATCTCTAGCCCAGAGGGTTGAGTCTTACCTTTCCAGATCTACAGTAGGCGGCTGCAAACCTTGTTGCCTCCCGGACACACAAGACATCCATTCCATCTACCTGTTCATACACAGAAAGGGCAGAGCATAAATCAAACTGTGTCAAACCAATTTTACAGGACCCATTCACACGCTATGAACAGAGAACGCCTGCGTGTGTCTGGGACTGTCAAGGACCCACACAGAGCTATCACGCTGCGAAGGGGTAGTCCCGGCTGCACACCAGGCGCCCTTACCCGCAGCCCAGGAATGAAGTCGCCTCTCTTGTAGTAATCAGTGCTGGCTGCTGCTCTCTCAACAGACGTTCCCATTCCGTAGCGGTTATTCTCACAGATGAAGATACACGGCAATTTCCACAAAGCTGCCATGTTGTAAGCTTCAAATATCTGACCCTGGAAGTATGTATAAAAAGTTCAAGTGGTTTCATTTTGCTACTTTTCTCTAGACTTCTTCATCGTCCCCAAAAGCTGCTGCTCTCCCTGGCACGAGACCTTTCATAAAACATGAAAAGCTTCCTTCATCTTCCACAGCGGAGCTTTTGAGGCAAAGGAGTGTGTTGGTGAGGGAGGAAGAAACGGCAAGCATCATCTCTTTTTGCAACCGAAGGAAGTGACAAACCAAATTCCACCACTTGTTTCGGTTGGGCCAAGGCAGTGGTGTAGAATATAGTAGGAAAAGAGAAACATGTAAAACTTTGTGACTACCTAGTTTTATGCTTTGTTATAAATCCTAGGAGACCCACTGGACAACCAGAGTGAACCAATGACTGAGAATCAGCATCCAGAGCAGGGCCTCAGAGTGTTGTCTGTGGAATGGTGAGGACTCCGACCATCACAGGAAAAGTATAGAAAGAGTCAGGGCTCAGAAACCATGAGACAATGCCATGCCCTCCAAGAGAAGGAGTATGTACATTACAGGATTGGTATAAGAACAAGTCTGCACTGGGTTAAATTGGAAAAAGGTCCTTCACCCACAGAGTGTTTGTGAAGCACTGAGCTGGAGGAAAAGGAGAGCTCCTTCCTGGGTGTGCACCTGTATGAAGCACTTGTGCAACGTGCCACAAAGTATACCTGTAATCTGGCCATAAAACCAAATTCTAGCTTGCCCCGATATGACTACTTCAACTACTAGGCAATAGACTACTTCGCTACAAATGAACTCTGACTACTCAACACTTTGGAGATAAAACTGCAATGGTTATTGCAAAGTCAAGAGACACATACTCACCTGATTAGCAGCACCATCGCCATATAAAGTCAAACAGACCTCATCCTTTCCATTATACTTACAGGCCAAAGCAATTCCTGCTCCCAAGGGCACCTAATATTAAGGACAACCAAGAAAAGAACCACAGAAATCCATGAGGGGAGAAATTAATGCTCTGCATTTCAAGTTCTCACCAGAACTTTTAAAACAGAAATTACACTGTCACTAGAAACTCTCTACCCCACCCCTAATATTATAATCAAACTAGTAAAGCAACATGAATAATTCTTCTATTTCAACCATTAAATAACACTTCTGTAAAGATTCAATGACTAAAGAGCTAAAATATGAAACTTTTTTAACATACAGCAAAGTCACATTACAAAGTGAGCCAAACAATCTAGTTATAATTTTATGTTGTTACTTCTTCGAGTTTTTTTTTTTTAAGATTTTATTTATTCATGAGAGACACAGAGAGAGAAACACAGGCAGAGGGAGAAGCAGGCTCTATGCAGGGCAGGGAGCTCGACGTGGAACTCAATCCCGGGTCTCCAGGATCACGCCCTGGGCCAAAGGCAGGTGCTAAACCACTGAGCCACCAGTGATTGCCCAAATTCTAGTTAATTAACAGAGCATCATATTGGTTTCAGGAGAATTTAGTGATTCATCACTTACATATCACACCCAGGCTGATACTTCATTATTCACTAACTGATGAGAACAAAAAGGACTACATAACCACAAAAGCTGAAGTGATGTCTAATGTGGCCCCTAAGATCCTGATCACCTGCCTTTCCTCCTCAGAGACCTTCAACCGCAGTCTACAGCAGGGAGAGGAAGGCCTAAGCGGATGTGACAAAGCAATCAATGTACTTAAATATAATAAAGGTACAGGCCGCTGCTAGGGGCTCTTGCTTACATATAAAACTAAACACCTAAGAGAATTTTAAATCACTATCCAAATCTATTTATTAACTGATAAAATGGTAGGCTATGAAGCAATAGGTCTTTTAAAGTCCACTCAGCCTCCAAAGTACTAAAATATTTCAGAGGGAAGTTCTCTGGGGGATGAGATGTTAAGACATGATCCAGGGCCAGATCTAGGAAAGCATGCAATCCCCTCATCCTTGTCATGGATTACCTGAGCTCCAACAATGCCATTACCCCCATAGAAGTTCTTGGCATACATATGCATCGATCCACCTTTTCCTTTAGCACAACCTCCTCTTCGTCCTACAAATGGCAGCATGTGCACATACACATCAGAAAGCAAATAAACAAAAGAAAACCACACCCCAAGTATCTACTTAGAGGCTCATCAACCACTAGAACTCACAGGTTAGTTCAACTCTATAAGCACCCATCCCTCTAGGCAAATATATACTCCACCCTTATCTCCCAGTCCTTGAATGAAGGTCAATCCAGGCCAATGTCTTTGACCTTCCCAGCTCCTTGACCATGGGGTTTCCTTTAAACATCAGCATGGTACCCTGGGCCCCCCCCTTTTTTTTTTGGTGCTAGTTACAAACATCTTCCGATTTATCCTACATTGGTACACTGAACAGTTCAAGAGTCAAGGGGGGCAAAGGGAATATTAAAAAGCTTCCTAGAATTTAAATTGCATACAATGAAATACTCCTACTCCACTTACTTTCTATGACTGCTAATTTCTACTGGCATGCTTGAGTGACAAACAGTATTACGATTTTACAAAGCTAACATTTTTAAACTTTTACCTAAAGGCCAAATGACCTAAAAAATGGTAAGTTTACTCAAAAGCACAACAGAGGTAACAGAGAACCAAAAGAGAGAGATTTTTTTTTTAACTCAAAACCGTTTTAATTAAGTTGTAATAGCATCTTAATATGAGAGATCTGCAAATTTATTTCACTGATTTCCCCTTTTTGAAAAATCAATAGCAAACCTGTAAGCTCTGCGAGAATTTCTCTGACAGAAAGGCCACGAGTAAAGGTAAAGCCATGAGCCCGATAGGCTGTGATAAGATGGTCTGTGGGATTTATGCCAGCCTCCAGGCCCACACAACAAGCTTCCTACATTAAAGGAAGAAGCAGCAATGAATCAATACAATACACATTTCTAGACAAAATCCTTAGACTATTATGAAAATTTAGCCTAGTAGAACTCTTAATAAGCACAAAAGGAGCTTGATTTTTCACTGCAAACAGAATAGAGGGTAAAGCTCAAGCCAGAAGCTACAAATTAATAATCCATAGATGTACTATTTCAAGCCCATGCAGTGATTTGGAGAAAAATCCTGAATATTAAATGTTAATTTGGGGGGAACATTAATATTAGGGGAATTTCATATGAAAATCAACACTTCTGTCCTCTCTTGAAGGACCAACAGGAAGCATTAACCCTGTATTTCCATATGGCACCAACTGGCTGGAACCAAATTATGGTGTCCCCTAGTGGGAAGGGCCTGGCCCACTCCATCCAGTTCACTACCAGTCCCACTTTCTTCACTAATTTATTCTACCCAGCTGGTCCCCATAGGCATTTTAATTCGTAACCCTTGGCCTAAACCCACAAAACAAAACACAAAGTGAAAAACCCTTTCCCCCATGAGTATATGCACTATAGGTGATCACAAAGTCATCAAGGTGCAAGACACCAGCAATGGGACGTGTGCATGAATTCCTTAGTATGAGCTTCGTAGCAGGCCTCAGCATGCTCATCTTTATTCTGACAGGCAGGCCTCAAATCCTTCAGAGGCATAAGGCAGGGTAAAAACCAGTAAATACAAACCATACTTAAACTCCTACATCTAACATTGTTTTATTACAAAACCACCACTCACCTGACCATCACACAAGTGACAGAAACCACGAATAATTTTCTGTTTATACAGCTGATCTGCCTTTAACTCCATTCGGCGAACAGTCTGCATCATCCTATAGTACCTGAGCCCATCCTCCCTGGTGAGCACTGTGGTGATAGGAGGGCCCTCTTCTAGCCGGTGAAGATCGCATTTCTGAAATGGAATCAGTTAACTTCCAGTTACTGCAATGTAAACACTGACCACCCACTTAGAGATCTAATATCTTATTGCAGTAATATTTAACTCAAAAACCAGCAGAGGAGCACATAAGAAATGCTGCATATTACTTCTGACTCCTTTCATCATAAAGCTCATTATGTGAGAGGATCTAGTTTTGGAGGCAAGAAATCTAAGATGACTTTCACTGAAAACCCATGGAAGTCAAATGAGTTACAGGCTGAAAGACAAACTTTGAAAGGAATATTCTAAGAAAATTTTAAGATTTATTTATTTATTTATTTGTTTATTTGTGTGTGTGTGTGTGTGTGTGAGAGAGAGAGAGAGAGAGAGAGAGAGAGAGAGAGAGAGAGAATGAGCTGGGAAAGGGGCAGAGGGAGAGGAAGAAGCGACTCCCCTCTGAGCAGGGAGCCCAATGGACCCCTGGGTCATGACCTGAGCCAAAGGAAGCCAATCAACTCACCACACTACCCAGGCACCCCTAAGAAACTTCTTATTGAAATGGTTTACTGAAACACATTCTAAATTTTAGATTAAGTCTTTGTTATAGCCCATACCCTGTCCCCTCCCCGAAACACAGCAGCTGCTAAGAGTGAATTCTAATTTTTGCTAAACTTCTTTGAACCTCTGACACTAGAACATTTAGAATAAAATGGTGAAAAAGCATGAATATCAAAATGTTCTATTCCAAAGGTAAAACTGTGTAAATATGTTTACCTGTGGAAAAATTATTAATACAAAGCAAAACACCTCTTACCTTAATTTCAAATGTAGCATCATTTGCAAAATTACGGGAGGCCACCAACACTCTGCTTGCCTTGAAAGACCAAAATATACAAATATATCAGTATGTTTTATTGTCAGGTATTATAAATCAGTTCTCAGAATGCAATCCTGGAATTTTCCTAAGCCCCAACATATTCACAGGTCTATCCCTCCATTCTCTTTACGGTGTTGGGATCTTGCCTTCAAAATGAATCCATGTTCTGGCCAATGAACCATGATCATACCCACCTCTGAAGGGTAACAGCAAAAAGAGAAAGGGAGACAAAAATCAAACCCATCCTCTTGGGCATTTTGTTTCCAAAGAAATTACAGTGAAAATAGAGTAATTTTAGTGGCCAAATTAAAGAGATAGCCTAGATAGCCTGTGGGCTTTATTTCTGCTATTTGCAGTCATAACCAGACATTGAACAAACTGTCAGAATTATTCTTCATATAAAACTATGATCCAATTCCTATTTCAGGCAAACCACTACTCTATGAAATGGCTCCATAAAAAAATATTTTAAACTACTCAAAGTATGAGACACATGTGTTAGTGAGAAATCTAGAAGACAAAAGAAAGATACTCAATGGACTCTACGGACATTTTATAATTTGAACAGCTCAGATTTTGGACAGGCTCCTCCAGAAGCCTCAGAAGGTAGAGAGATTCTCTGCAACCAGCTTTCCCTTCTTGATGTTTGGGTGGCTGCTACCGCTTGGGTGGTAAAAAGCTGGGGAAATGTCTCTTTCACCGTTTCAATTGAAAATACCTGCTCACAACAGAGGTACTCTACGTGACAGCTAAGGTCCAGATTAGACCGCAAAACACTTAACCAATTACAATTACTGTACCGTCACATTGTGCCATGTTTTCAAACACTGATTATAAACTGACATAATGGGACGCCTGGGTGGCTCATCGCTTAAGCCTTCGGCCCAGGGCATGATCCTGAGGTCCCGGGATGGAGTCCCGCATCGGGCTCCCTGCGTGGAGCCTGCTTCTCCCTCTGCCTATGTCTCTGCCTCTCTCTCTCTCTCTCTCTCTCATATAAATAAATAAATAAATAAAATCCTTAAAAAAAAAATAAACTGACATAACTTCTTTTTATGAAGACTTGAAGCATATTCTTCAGATCCCATGAAAGGTCCTTTTGATGTGTTCCTACAGCGTATTACCTTACCATCCAACTTCTAGCACTGGACTTGATCTTGGTGAGAAGGGTTAAGAATGACCTGCTAAATACCCCGCCAGGGTATAAAAACATATTATCTACTTGTCTCTTCACCCACCAATATACCACTATCTGATAAAGCCAAGACAATGACACTGCTGTAGGAAAAATACTTAAATACTAGAAATAAATGCGTTAGAGGCAGAGTCCATTAATATACCTAAGAATATGTGAAGAAAATTGAGGAATTTAGAAAGAAGTTAAGGGGAGGTGAGGTGACAAACTAAAGGTGATGTTTGGCAATCATGAAACAGACTTGTTATTTTTACCAATTAACAAATTATGTTGTGGGGCCAAAAATACTTATTGTGACACAAAATAAATTTCCAAATACAGCTACAGAAACTGTAATTTTCAGAAATATTTAAAACTAAAGACCTAGGAACGCCTGGGTGGCTCAGCGATTAAGCATCTGTCCTCAGCTCAGGTCGTGATCCTGGAGTCCCGGGATCGAGTCCCACATTGGGCTCCCTGCATGGAGCCTGCTTCTCCTCTCCCTGTGTCTCTCATGAATAAATAAAATCTTTAAATAAATAAATAAAACTAAAGACCTTGTTGAAACACTGTATTGTACACCTGAAATTACAATGTATGTCAACTGGAATTCAAATAAAAAATAAAACTAGAGACCAAACCCACTGAGAAGATCTTAAAGTTGAAACCAACAATGACAGACTATATATTAGACAGTGAAAGAGTGCTCCTTACTTTGAGCCACCCCTCTTTCTGGCTATTTTGTTTTACCTATTGCCTGCATATATGGCATTAATTATACTAAGGCACAGAAAAATACTTTGAAGAATTATCTGTTAACTGTAGATTATGTGTGTCTGAGGGCCCAAACCCAGTTTAATAGCTCCCTATCCTTGCAACAGAGCAAATCAGGTAATCATGTTTCCATAAACTGTAATTATTGATGAGATGTCCCCAGAGTGCTCAGTGCACTTCAGGCTCTTGGGTCTAATGTGCTTATTTATCAGGTTTCAGTTGTGTTAACACAGGCTACTTAGAGTGTTCAAAGTGTTTATCTTAAAATCATCAGAGACCAATACTTTACTTTTTGAACCTGTACTCCTTAATGCTAAAAAATCATTGTTAGATGAAAGGAAACACACTTGAAACTGTCATGAACTGGGTAAGTTTCTTATTCCACAGATTGCCAAGTTCCCATTCTGGGTTTGACACTTTGATTTGCAAAAGTGTCTTTAAAAATAAGTAAGCATACCAGATGTTACTCCCATCAAGACAGAAACAACTACTTTCTAAGCACAGGTGATACAAATAAGTTTAAGGAATTTGTTAAAAAACTCATTGTATAAAGTAGATGTTTAATATCTTAGAGAACGTAAGGGAAAATGTTGCACTTTCACTGTCTCTAATCGTTTTTATTTTTTTTAAAGATTTTATTTATTTATTCATTAGAGACACAGAGAGAGAGAGAGGGGCAAGAGACACAGGCAGAGGGAGAAGCAGGCTCCATGCAGGAAGCCCGATGTGGGACTCAATCCCGGTACTCTGGGATCACACCCTGAGCTGAAGGTGGAAGCTCAACTGCTGAGCCACCCAGGCATCTAATGGTTATTTTTAAAATACTAATAGAAGAAATGTTATACATAGGAATCCATTTCCGCTGTAATAATCTTTTCTCTCAGTAACAATTTTTGACTAAATGAAGTTATATTCTACTCTGATCTTATCCAGCTAACAAATTACTAGAACTCAAAATTCATTTTTAAAAATTTTTATTTATTTATGATAGTCACAGAGAGAGAGAGAGAGAGAGAGAGAGGCAGAGACACAGGCAGAGGGAGAAGCAGGCTCCATGCACCGGGAGCCCGACATGGGATTCAATCCCGGGTCTCCAGGATCGCGCCCTGGGCCAAAGGCAGGCGCCAAACCGCTGCGCCACCCAGGGATCCCTCAAAATTCATTTTTAAAAAAATATTTATTTATTCGAGGGGGGGAGGGGGAGAGAGAGAGAGAGAAAGAGGCAGGCAGAGACACAGGCAGAGGGAGAAGCAGGCTCCATGCAGGGAGCCTGATGTGGGACTCGATCCCAGGTCTCCAGGATCAGGCCCTGGGCTGAAGGCAGCGCTAAACCGCTGAGCCACCTGGGCTGCCCTCAAAATTCATTTCTATTTGATTTGGGCAGTATTATATGATTTTTTGAAGAGACCAAAGTTTTATGGAGATGAAGTGCAATTTGCATTTCATGCCAACGCATTGCTGGAGGACTGAAAAACACAACCAGAAATATTTTGGATAGCCGAGCAAATGAGCCTCTAATATTAAATAATGGCTTCTCTCTGTTCCTAGGGACAAAGAGATGACAGTAATTTGAAACGCACACACTAATTTTTTTCTGTAGATCACCAATTCTATCAAAGTTTTTCCTTTCTACTACAACCCTTTAAATTTAACATGATACAAAACTAAGATTCTCATATAAAGTTGAACACCTGTTTCCATTACTTACATTCAACTAAAAACTGAAGTTGTGGAGATTAAATAGCCTAGCATCTGGCACATATTAAGATCTCAAGAAATGTTGGATCTATCATGCGATATACAGAAATAACACTGAAATGAGCTTATCCTTTAGGTGGATCTAGTTGCAATTAAATGCTAATGACTGATGAACCAAATTGTGTTTTTTTTCCCCCCAAATTGTGTTGTGTAGTTATTTCAGTCAGTGGGATTCCCAAAAGGGCATACTTCCTACCTTTCAATTATTTCTGCCCACAGTAAGCAGAACTGCCACAAAGTCCTGGAAGTTACTAGAACCTGAACTGCAAGTCAAGCTTGGCTACAGTTCTACCCAGTAATACTACCTCCCCATACCTAGAGGTCAAAATGCTCGAAGGCTTTAGGCACATCTAAAAACTGGAGCCATAAATAGTGCTAACCTCTAACCCCACTCTCCCAAGCACCAAAGCTGTTTTCTTTAGCTACTTTTACCCTAAGCGTGTGCGTGTAAGAAGGGCAATTTCCTCCGGGTTCTGCTTGACTGCTCTTGGAAGTGACTGCCAAGAAAAACTCAACACTGAGGGAAAGGAGGGGTGGTGGTTTCTGGTGAGCATGACCCTCCAGAGCTGGGTGAAGGTGTTCCACAAATGTATACCCAAGGGGGCACTGAAATAACATTTTTTAAAAAAGATTTTATTTATTCATGAAAGACAGAGACATAGGCAGAGGGAGAAGCAGGCTTCCCGTGGGGAGCCTGATGTGGAACTTGATCCCAGGACCCCGGGATCACTACCTGAGCCAAAGGCCGACTCTCAACCACTAAGCCACCCAGGTGCCCCTGAAGTAACATCTAACACAGATGGCACCTACTATATACCAGGCGCTATTTGGCAAGGTTTACATACATGTCAAGAGTTTAAGCTTCAGGACAACTCCTTGGGGTGAATACTCGTATTATCTCTTTAGAGAGCTGGAAACCGAGCAAGGGAGATTTAAAACAAAAACCTGCCCAAGCTCACAGAGCTAGTAAATGGTGAGGCAGGTGTTGAACAGGACCAGTTTCCTAAGTTCACGTTCTTAACACACCACGTGGCCTCTTAGTCAAGAAGAACGAAATTAGGAAGACTTCAAATGAATGGGCAGGATCAACTGGGGACTCGTGGATGCCCCAGGCCCCCTTTTCTGTCAGCAGTAAATGAACGGGCATTTCTGGAGCACACCTACTGTAGCCAGCGCCGGGAGTCACAGCTGACCTCCCCGTGGACCTGGTAGAGCTCCCCTCCCCCCTTTTGCTGCTGATGGGCCCAGCAGCCACTAGTCCCGGAGCCGGGAGCCGAGTGCCAGGCGCGAAGGCAGAACAAAAGGCCCGCTACCCTCCGGCCGCTCCGCAGCGCCCTAAGAGGGACCACACCGCGCGCCCCCAAGCCCCGGCCGTACTCCCGCGTCGGGCCCCGCCTCGGTCCCGGGCCCCGCCTCGACCCCGCTCGCGCGCTACCCCGGGCCGCCCATGCTGCTGCCTCACCGGCTTCTGGGAGACGCCCGACAACACGCGGGAGACAGCGGCGAGCATCTTCCTCATGGATTGCCGGCAGCGGCGGCGGCGTAGGCGACTCCCAAGTACACAGGCGGCGCGGCCCCGAAATCTCCCAAGTCTCCTTCAGGCGCCCGGAGCGGACGCTACGCCTTAACTCCAGCACGACCGACGAAACGGAAATTCGTCACGCGCCGCGCCAGGCCGCAGGCCAACCAAGCGGGCTCCCAGTTGCGTGTCCCGCCCACCAAAAAGGTTCGCGGCCGCTCATTGGGTGTTGGCGCCAGAGGGGGCGGGCGCTGGGGGCTCGTTGCGCCATCACGTCACGGGCGGGCGGGGATGCGGGAACTTGAGGGCGTCCGCCTGGGAAAGTGGAGCCCCGCCTCCGGAACCCCGCGGGAAAATGGCTTTTCCTGGAGTTTTGCGACTCAGATTAGGCGTGCACGGCGGGAAACCGTACGGGCCACCTGCCGTGCGCCCAGTCTTGCCGGGGCTGCACTTTGGCAGCCTTCGCTCAGTGCACGGCAAGATGAAGACTCATGGCGTGGTCGGAGCCGAGACGGAACCTCTGGTTTCTGTAAATGGTTCTGCTGCTAACTTGTCTTTAAGAGATCATGTAACAGTTGTAAAATGCTGCCCTGTGTACTTGAGTTACGATCTAAAAATCAATTCCCCAAGTAAATATTGAGAGATCAGCTGGGAAAAGCCTTTAGCTCTAGTTACTGGTTCGCGAGCTCAACAGGAGTTAACAGCCGCATGACACAGCTGATAATAAAAGCACACACAAAGAAGCAAACACAAAAATAAGTCTAAGCTCGATTCAGTGAGTTCCCAGGTCAGAGAGCTGACTGTGGGCCAGTGGAGTTACACCTGGGATACTAGGTTCAGATTTGGGGTCCCCATGTAAGGGGAATGTTGTCAAAAATGGGTGGAATCCAGGGGACAGTGGTCAGAATGGTGAAAGGCTGAAACCACAATTTGAACTCCAAGAACTTGAACCAACTCAAGGACTCAAGTCACCTTGTTTACACTTCAGGTCCCTCACAGCTTGGCTGGGATCTGCTCCATGTCATCTTCACTCTGGCACTCAGACTGATGGAATAGCATCTGTCAGCAACTTACTGTACCGTAAAAGGCAAAGAGATCATTTAAACTGGCTCTCAGGGCAGCCTGGGTGGCTCAGCGGTTTAGCGCCGCCTTCAGCCCAGGGCGTGATCCTGGGGTCCCCGGATTGAGTCCCGCGTCAGGCTCCCTGCATGGAGCCTGCTTCTCCCTCTGCCTGTGTCTCTGCCTCTCTCTCTTTAAAAAAATAAATAAATAAACTGGCTCTCAAAGCTTCTACCCAGAAGTGACACATGTTATGTCCTCTCAATTTCCATAAACCAGAGCTAGTCACACAACCATATCTGAGTTCAACAGGTTGAAGTATAATTCTCCTGTCAGGAGGAAACCCAGAAAAGAGGCTGAACAGTAAAACCATAGAGGATTAGATACATCTTCACACATTTTCATACCAGTCATGTTCCAGAAGGAAGACTTATTGTGAGCATATGTGTGAATAAAATGGTTTCGGTTGAGTAAAACAATCAATTTTTTTCTAAAATGAGAATTGTCCCAGGAGATGATTCCTTATAGGTGTCACCAAAAGTATTCAAATCAAAAGTTCAAAGCAAGACCAGATGTCAGAATGGCTAGAAGAAGGACTTCAACACTATCAGGAGCCTGGACTGAGAGACCTTATTGATGCCTTCCACCTCTATGACTAGGTTACAGTGAGAAGAGCACTCCACAAAGGAGTGAGCAGGGCCGTTAAAAGGTAGGGATGGAAGTGACATGCTGCCACTGACTGAATGTGAAGGGTGAAGAAAAAGGAAGGCAAAGGGTCAGAGATCAGATATTTGGGTCATGAGTATCAGCTGGCCTGGATGGCCTCTTGTTGGCCTGGAGGTGGTGGTGGAACACCTGTCTGTCTTTGTTCCCTAGGAAGGTGGAGTTGTAAATCTGGAACATGTGGCTAGAAATATGCATTTGGGAGTTCTTTGAACAGGGGTGATGCTGATTTGTGTGTCCAAGAGCAATGTAGAACATATGGACATAAAGTCATTCATTCATTTAACACCTATTTATTGAGCACTAATTCTGTGTCAGGTACTATACTGGGCTTTGGGGATATAGCAGGGAACGAGTAGAATATAAGCTCTATTTCACAGAGTTTATGGTCTAATGGTAAATAACAAGTACATATAAATATATGAACATATAATAGCAACAATAGATTGTGTGAAAAAAAATTAAACAGGGTAAGAGGATAGAGAATAAGGAGGAGGGTCAGAAAGGCTCCTCTGAGGAGGGCCATGTAAGCAGAGACCTGAATTTAATCGGGAAGCAAACAATGCAAAAATCCCAAGGAGAGCTTTTCAGACAAAGGGATCACAAATACAAATGCCCTGAAGTGGGAATAAATGAGCAAGTGACTTTGGTGGCATAAAACAGGCAGAGGACCAGGAGAAATGAAGTAGAAAAGAGACCAGAAAAGGAGGGCCCTAGTGGGATTTTTCGTTGTTGTTTTTCTTGGAAGGAAACTGAGTTTTGTTTTGAGTGGGATGGGAAGCTATTGCAAGGATAGGAGCCGGGAAGTGGCCATGATTTAATTTCCATTTCCACTGAACACTTAAGACCAGTCTGGTTGCTGAATGGACATTTGATCACATTTGAGCACAAGAGTTCCCTTAGTGCTTGTTCTTTGAGTTCTAGGTAGCTTCTGCTTCCTTTGGGGGAACTCGTAGATGGTAGCAGACTAGATGGAAGTTGTTCCTTGCTCTTTGCTTCATATTTGCAAGAAGCAGATCCTATGTCTTCTGTATGTCGTTACTACCCAAATACTCTAAAGATTTAAGATGTAGGGTCTTATAAGAATAATGAAGAGAAATGTGTACATCATTGTTTCTCAAAGTTTGGACCACTGTACAAGTCAAGTGAGACTGACCAGGCCATGTTGCCATAACACATTAACGTCAAGAATCAGTGGATTATTACAACAGAGGTTGATTTTTCACTCATGGTCTATGTCCAATATGGATCGTCCAGGGACTTTCTCCATGATGTCACTCAAAAACCCAGGATGACACTGTGATATTTCAATACATAACCTTTGTGGTCGATGTGGCAGGAAAGGAGAGAGTGCAAAAGAGTCTCACAATGACTCTTAAATACTTTGGCTGAGTATCCCCTGTCCCTACGACACAGTTCCTCTAGAGATGGTGACTCAGGGAACTCCTCTGACATCCAGCAAGCAACACTCCCTCCAACAAGCGGTCTCCTCCTCGGGTGCTGTTCAGCCCTGACGGGGAGCAGTGGCTGCTTTTCTATCTGCTATTCCTGTAGCCTTTATATTTCTCTTTATGTCTTCTCCCTCCTACTCCAAGCCCCTATTATTTGAGCAATAAAATAAATAGCAATAGTAGTGGATTGTAACCCATTGAAGAAAATAAATCCCCATGACTCCATACAGACATATATACATAATTGAATAAATAAGTAGGGGAGAAGAGGCAACTTTTCCTTACAGTAGAAATCCAATTGATTGAGGAGGAAAATATGATGGAAATGGGGCGGGGGAGGGGAGAGGGAATCACCATCTGGCAAAGACCACAGTAGTAATTGTTCGGGCTCACTGGAGGCTAAAACTACTGGGTGCAAGTATGATGACAAACAACACATATGCATAATCTCAAAGTAGCTCCCTACAAGATACTAATCACACCAGATAAAATGGTAAATTCAAAATGGAGAAACAGGTAATCCAATTTATAATGAGTAGGATATTTTCTTTGCACTTTTTTTTTTGCCCGAAATTTCAAAACTAGAGTTGAAAGTGACCTTGGGGATCCCTGGGTGGCGTAGTGGTTTGGCACCTGCCTTTGGCCCAGGGCGCGATCCTGGAGACCCGGGATCGAATCCCACGTCGGGCTCCTGGTGCATGGAGCCTGCTTCTCCCTCTGCCTGTGTCTCTGCCTCTCTCTCTCTCTCTGTGACTATCATAAATAAAAAAAAAGTGACCTTGAAGGTGAGGGACATTCAGGTATTATATGAGTGGTGACAGGCTAAGGTTGCAGTTCATAGGCATTGCCTATGGGCCAGAGTAATCTCATCTGTGTTAGAACAGTAACAAAGGACTCTTGCCTGTGGAGGAGGAGAGGCCAGGGAAATGGAGAAATAATAATAAAAGGCAGGGGCCTGAGGAAGAGAAAATCTTAAGAAAGAGAAGAATCATGGGGGCACCTGGGTGGCTCAGGTGGTTAAGCATGTGCTTTTGGCTCAGGTCATGATCCCAGGGTCCTGGGATCAAGCCCCGCATCGGGCTCCTTGCTGGATGGGCAGCCTGCTTCTCCCTCTCCAATGCTTGTGCTCTCCTGCTCACTCATCCTCCCTCCCCAAATAAAATAGAAGAAGAAAGAACAGCATGTGTTAGGGAAGGTGTGGAGAAAAGGAAGCTGTTGTGTACTCTTGGTGGGGATAGAAATTGTTGTAGCTACCATGGAAGACAGCAAGGAGGTTCATCAAAAAATTAAAAATAGGACTACCTGATCATCCAGCAATACCACTTCTGGGCTTCTATGTGAAGAAAATGAAAACACGAACACCCCTATGTTCACTGCGGCATTGTGTACAATAGCCATTTACGGAAACAACCTAAGCATCCGTCCATGGACGAGTGCATCAAGAAGATGTGGTCTACAGGCAATATGGAAGATTATTCAGCCATTAAAAGAAGGAAACTGTGCCATTTGCGACAACATGGATGGACGTGGAGGGCATTATGCTAAGTGAAATAAGTCAGACATTGAAAGACAAACACTATATGATCTCACTTACCTGTGGAATTTAAATAAAGACAAAAACAAAAACAAAACCCAGGCTTATAGATACAGAGAACATATTGGTGGTTGCCAGGGGTGGGGGTGGGGGTGAAGTGGGTGAAGGGAGTCAAAAGGTACAAACTTTCAGTTATAAAATAAGTGAATCCTGCGGATGTCGTGTACAGCATGGTAACTATAGTCAATAATGCTGTATCGCATATTTGAAAGTTGCCAAGAGGAACACCTGAGTGGCTCAATTGGTTAAGCATCTGCCTTCAGCTCAGGTCTTGATCTCAAGGTTCTGGGATCAAG